GCATTTTTAATAATTAAATGACGACACGTTGCTCATGCACCGATTGGTCTAACAGAACATAAGTTCAAATCACATTCCTTTTTTTTAATTCCTTTCTTTTTTAATAAATTCTATTTTGGGAGCGTAATGAGTCTCAGCTGAATATCTGTACTGTATTATCAGTTAATTTATCAATTTTCTGTTTCTTAAGAATTAAATTCTGTCCTTACATATTTATGCACACTACATACTACTTCATGGGAAGTAGAGATAACAATTTATTTGCAAAGCAATATTTTTAAAAAATTATTGGACCAGTATTAGTTAAAATGAGTCTGTTATGTAAGCATGCAATAAATATATTTTTAGCTACAATTGTGACAGTATTTCAAGGGTCAGAGAACAGCTCTGCAAAGCGCCACTTCTGAATGCAGAGATAGAGAAGCACTGACGGGCAGCCTTCTGTCCATCCATGATCCACACCACCATGCCCTGCATTCCTACAGCCATATTTCAAGGATCTTGTACCGTCACGGCACCGCTTCACATCTGTCTATTCACATCCAAGAATACCCAATACATAAACCACGGACAGAATTAAATGAAGTGAGAAAARCAGACAACGGCCGCAGTTGGTGATATCACTGCCTAGGGATAGATGGATTTTGGAATAAACACTTGCACTGCGTTCTCCAAGGACCTTCTCGTCTTGGAGCACCCGACCRGCCGTGGGTGCTGCGGCTCTCACGGCTGATCCCGATCCCAGAGGAGAGGAATCCGAGATGCCCTTCAGCCCAACTAACCACCCGGGCTGAGCAGAACTGCAGATCCAGCTTGGCAGAGGTGCAACAGTAAAAACTATTTCACAAAGATATGTATGTGTATATATATATATGTGGGTCTGTGTGTATAAACATATATTCAGGACTTTTCCACATGGGGGAAAAATTGCCTCTGTTACAGGTATTTTAATAGCCACCGGGCTCCTTTCTACAGGGCTCACCAACGAAACCTAAAGACAGTGCCGAGCAGAACTTGGTAAGCGCTGTGCTTTCAGACATATCCAACTTGTATCACCTAAAACAAATATTGCTCAGAATGGAGATAACATTTAGACATTTGCTTTAAAGTGTAGCATCCTTTCCACCTGCCACGGCGGGCCGCGGCAGCTACACTCGAGTTAACATATTACTGACAGGATGATGAGAAAGCTCCTGTCAGACACTGGCCAGCCGGGTGTCTGAGACAAAACGCAGAGCCCCAGCTGACTAGTTAGGCAGAGACTGGCAAGGTACAATTACAGAGGCATATGACAAGCTTTCATGCTCGAGTGACTTGAGAGCCGGTGACACGGCTTGAAACAGCAATCCTTCCTACCTCCGGTCACAAAACAGCAATAAGTCAACTGATGCACTGTTGTAAAATCATGATTTATTCCTTTGCTTTGAATACATGAGAGTATGGTGTGATGTTCTGGTAGAGTACCACAGCAGGTGCACTTGGGGCCTGAACATCTAGGGCCTGCCTCCAGCATGCATAAAATCAATGTTYGAGTTCAGCCTTCCTGGAAAAAAAGAAAAAACTGCTGCCTTCCCCAGCAGTTTAATAATTTATCATAAGATTGAATTAAAAAATTAATTGTACTGAAACTATTACTGCTTCACGCAATTAATAAGAATATATGCATATGTGGTAATGAATGAGAAGATGGTGCTACATTAGAATATTAGTGTGACATTTAGGAAAATTCTTCATACAGTTAATCAGAAAGAGCTAACAACCACCTTGGTGAATTAATCTGTTCCTTTGTTTCATTCACTTTCTTTCATTCCAAAGTCATATAATTTGTTTCTCTTTTACAGTATGCTGTTTAAAAGCCAGAAATGGTAATTTTGGTTAGAAACAGATCTTACAGAACATAATCCTCAGGCTAGTGAATCTGTCTCGCTGTAATACTAAGCCTGGAGCACACTGTGAGGTTGGTGACAATCACATTATTAAAGTAGCTGGAAAGTCAAGCTAATAAAAGAATCAACAGCTAGCTCAAAAAATGGAAATAAAGACAATACGACAGAAATGAGTGCTGAGAAGTTTCCCCTTTTTTTTTTGTAGCAATTGTCAAAGTAGGCAAGGATCCTCACTGAGGGAGGTTTTTTTTAAGGGTTATAAACACAGAAAAAAATCAATTTAAAGAAAGATGCCAAGGATACATAACAATTGCAAATATAAGCAGGTTCATATAAAACAAAGTCTGCTTGGCTGAAATAAAATATAAGCTGTCATTTGAATCAGAGCCCCACAGGACAAGTTGATAATTACCATTTACTTTTTTTTTTTTCAATTAAAATAACAGTCTACTGAACAGTTTAACACACAAAAAAAACCTTTCTCTTTTTCTTCTTGCCTGCCCACTAACCCAATAACCAGTAAACACAGCATCTGTTCTTCCTCCCTCCCTTGTTTTCATATCAGCATTGAATCCTTATTTGAATATAATAAAAGCATGAAATTTATAGGCCAGAAATGCTCGACTTGGACAATTTCTGACCATAACTGTAATTTTCCATCCCCCCTCGCAAGAACAGCACAGAGAAATGAAGCAAGGCCTTGAATTATGCCGTTTGTTATCTGCCACTGCCCCGAGATAGCGACCCGCAACGGCGCCGATAACGCCAGGGCGACCCGGCGCGCTCGCGATCCCACACACACGCCTGGGGCTCGGTTAACCCCAAGGATAAGGCACAACTCCCTTAACAGAACGTTGCACTTGACAGCACTGTTTGGAAAGAGCTCTCTCTCCAAGCACCAAGCTGGAATTTGGCAATATGAAAATGTGGCTGCAATACAGAGCTGTGTTGCCTGGGCTTTACACCAACAACTGCAGCACAAAGCTGGCACACTGCAACCTTCAAATACATGTCATTCATTTATTTGTATTAAGCAACCCATTATTTTAAACAATAATATCCTATCTTCCCCAAAATATATGCAAGYATTCTAATGAATTCCCACAGCAGATACTGAGAAGGATTTAATTTCTTTTTTTTAGACTCTCTTAAACACCACTGCTCCTGTTCTGTTTAAGAAAGACTCTGCTGGGTAAAAGTTCTTGCTGAAGATCTCCATAAGACAGCTCCACTTTCCCTACTTTTCATTCTTCCTTTAGCTCATCATTTTTCCACTTTTAATCAGATTTCACTAGCAAAGGTGAAAATTTACTCTGTTCTTATCCTGAAATGGATCCTAGATGATATGGCAGTAATTAAAAATTCACCTATAACTTCGGTTAGTAGACTGAAAAATTACCAGAAGAAGGTGAAACTGATGCAGTCTCTCTTTTCAGACTTGATCTGCAATCTGTTACGCACATTCACAGCTTGGTGGTCTCATCCCTCAGGATGTCCAATTACCACTGACAAAAAGTCTGTTATGATTGCATATCCTTATCCAGGAGAATAATAGATATTTTATTTTCAGTGATGACACCATCAAGATGACTCTGTTACTTCAGGAAAAGATTACTGATTCAAAGTTCAAAATAACTGAATTTTGAACAAAATCATGCTTCCCACAAGCGGTATATTATGCCCATTGATCTGTAATCCAATTCCAATCTGATTCTAAATCAGGGATGCTATAATGAYACATGAGCAGTAAAAGGGATTTCATAATTTGTCTATTTATGTTACCTTTTTTTTCCTATTTCTTGGCACCAAGCTGGGTCCTGAACCAGCAAATTGGGGGGGGGGGGGGGGAAGTCTAATTCCACGGTTTTGCTCCTGTATATGAACTTCTTTAAATCAGGTTCTTTAAAGGGCCTTCGATTTCTCTTCGTCCTTTTGGGTAGTCAACACTGATCTGTCATGTTTTAATGCACAATTCTCCCAGTCATTTCCAGAGAAGAATCTGAAAATTCCTTATATCCCTTCACTAGTTGCCTTCCTGTTCTTCYTGTTGTTCACATCACCTTTAGCTAGGTGACCTCATGTCTCATTTATTCTCTAATCATCAGAGATTTACTTTATTTAGCTGCAAACTAGTGCCAGGATAAAATGCTGTCCTTCGAGCTGGCATTTCAGCTGCTCTTGGGCATCCCCTCACTGGACTGGTTACACATCGAGGCACCCAACATCGCGGTGCTCAAATCAACCCTGTGCCAAACAAAACACTTCATGCAGTACTGCCAGGGCCTGGAAAAACAGAGGGATTTTCCATGCCTGGACTTAACAGACAGAAGCTCCTGCACAACAAGTAAACTATATAATGAAAGTTGGCTATGAAGATATTCCCAAGATTAATTTTTGCCCCAAATTAATGGGCAAAATTATTCTAGGGAATATCTTCAAAATATAGAGTAGCTTAAAGCCTCAAAATGATACCGTAAAGTACAAAAACAAAGCAATATTGGGAGTATTTAGATATATTTCAAAATGAAATGCAACATTATTTCATTACACATTCTAAGCAGGCATTAGAGGAAAAAAATTTTAATATGAGCAGTAACCTAAAACCTTTAATAAAAAAATTACTATTTTGAGTTGCACATTATTATTAGCCTGAAGAGCTGCTCCAAAGCAGAGCTATTGCAGTGTGCACTCCCAAACCACTCTAACAAAGACGAATCTACCTATTACCAGGTTAGGATAGCAGCTATTATTACGGCCCCTTGATTTCTTTCAAGTAGCTCCAATGCAATAAGCCACAAGTGAATAATAAAGATCTTATAATAGCCCTTAAGAATTCTTTTTAGGTTCGAAGGCACAGAAATGAACTCAGGAGAGTTAAAGAACTCTCATCTCCTGATAAGAAAAATAATTAACCTGACTTAATGCATCTGAGTAGGTCTTATATAAATCAGACTTTTGTACTTCAAGAGCCAGACTAAAGCCATATATCAGAAAAGTATGTAGATATTGTCTTATAAGTGCACACGGAAGATATCTAAAACCACAAAGGTCTGTAGGTCTTTTTGTGAAATGTTCAATATATTCTACTTAAAAGGAGACGTGTGAAGTACTTACAGTGCTTAGTTTGCTAGAGGTAATAATGATTCGTCTCTCATGCAACATACTGGCATAAAGTTGCAGCATGTTGTTCACATCCACAGCCACAAAATATTCAGTGAGGTTTCTCTGTTTAAATAAATAAGATGTTAACAATATAGCAACAGTAGCAGCTCAGTGGAACATTTAATATATTACTTATTTTTTTCATCAGTTAGTAGARAAAACAAGCCTATGGAAGAAAATTTGCATTACAATTTCTATGCTCTAAAAGTAAATGATGGAGTTTCAAAGCGAAAGAAAGTTAATCTGTGAAAACTAACCTGGTGAAAACCATGCTCATTTTATTATGCTCTTGAATTTAGACTTGTTCTTTGGCAAATCTGTAAAACCTGATGAGGAGCCGCTGCCACCCGACTGCGAGGGTTAATGAGCAGGAGGGTCCCGGCAGTGACGGGCGCCAGGCTGGGGACAGCGCTGCGGGCAGGGGACCCGCCAGCTCYGGCCGTGGGCAGGGCTCTCTCCAGACACAGGGATCTGCTCCTTTACTTCCTTACACACTCTAATGGGAGCAAACTCTAACTTGAACAGAGAACGGATCCTCCTCTTCGGATCCATTTTAATATTAAATAAAAAATAGAGTGAAAAGGAAAGCCCAAAGCCATCTCCTCCTGAGTGATGCAGGGGATCCAAAGCTCCAGCCGCAGGTACGTGCACAAATGCATCTCTGATCCAAAAATCAGAGCCTCAGTTTTGGTCCATGCTGTGTAAGCATTTGCAGGAGATGCAARCAAGGTCTAAGACTAAAACCGCTGCATTTTGAAAGAAATTCTGGTCCTTTAACTGCCTGTCAATGACTAAATGCATCATGATAACTTCAGTCTAATTTTTCAAGCACATCCTCTGCAATATTTCATTTGCTAGGGTTGTCTTAATTCACTATCACGAAACCCGCCATAGCGATATCTAGATCTGCACAAATCAGTACATCTTTGGCAGACTGCATCAAAATTAAAAATTATATTTGAAAAATTGCTGCCCCAAAATATATAAAGCTTATGATGAAGAATAAGGGAAATCAGTTCGAATATTTACTTGTAGTAAGTAATCAGCTCTCCCTCCCCTGGTACCATTGCTACTCCTCCTGGAAGGATGGGGCTCCATTTTTATAAATGGAATAAAACCCAAAAGGAATAGAAAGGCACCCAGCAGAAAGGAACAGGGGCCCAGGGACTTGCCCACCCACCCGGGCAAATGCTGCTCCCCGCACAGACAACTGCCAAGAAACTCTGCCAAAATTTCTTCACAGAAGTCTTCATTTAAAAAAATATGTATTTTAACCATTACTGGTGCACGGCCCTGTGCTACATGGTGTGTGCACAATTCAGATGCTGAGTAGCTACAGCAGATTTCCAGAAAGCCTGAAACACTGCCTTCTTACACAAAAATTAACTGCACATCTCATAGCTGAATTCACAGCTTAGCAATAAATTCCTTAAGGAATAGGCAGTCAAATAACACTAAGTGCAAGAGATGACTGTTCTGAATACGTAAATCCTATAACTGTAAATATACCAAGTAATTATTAAAGAAGATGAGATCTAACAGTGGTCAAAAACGCCCAGTATGCTGCTCTAATACTGGATAACAATGAGAAACACAAGAGTAACTTTACTAGCTGAAGAACTTACTAATACACAAGACAGTGTGGGGGAAAAAAATAATCAGTATCAATAAAAATGGAGCTCAGCCCTATGCATAGAATGAGGGAGATGCTTCTCTTCTTAAATATTAAAAACAAAAACAAAAAAGGCTTTTATACTTACACTTTCAGGGATTGTTGGCAATCCAGTTATATCAGGAGTAATGAAGTATGAGTGCTAATCAATGGGGGAAAAAATCAATTAATAATTTGTGCAGACAAAAGCCAAGAATTCTTTAAAAGTGGCAGGAGGGGAAGCATTTAGGATTTCCAACCCCAGCTTTGCTCAAGCGAATCGCTATCTTTTCAATTGAATTCTTGCTACTACTAGACAAAGAGTTAAGCAGAGAAAAGCACAAAATGACAATGTCTGGTTCAGCGCAGCACACAAAACACAAAACAAATGAACAAAACATCACACTGCATTTTAGGAACAACACCGAAATTAAGCCAGATTGTCACAAGCCTGAGAATAGCACTGATTAAAATAAGCATTGATTTTAAAATTGCAACAAGAAAACGTTAACAAAGTAGAAATTTAGAATGGAAGTAGAAAAATCATTTACAGGAGAAGATTAATTAGCAGTGAGTCATTAGTCCTTGATGCGCATGCTATTCTCTTCCAAACATCTTTGGATCAAAAAATGTGTTAACAGAAATCAGGGTCTTAAGGTTTGAGACTCAATAGTCATTTACGAAATAACACTGGCAATTTTATCCATTTGAGTTTGAGACATTGAAAAACCGAATATGAATTGGACTAAATTGAAAACAGATGTAATTTTAATGATTTCTATTAACCCAGTGCTTTTAACAGCTACCAAGCATGAATTTAGCTCACTATTTTAGTATATTAGCCTAAATCTTGAAGGATAAGAAGGACTGAAGCACATCCTAATTAAATGTGATGAATGTTGAATATTTAGCTTTTATTTGTTTTCCTCTTTTTTTTTTTTTTTTTTTAAAGAGAGTGGAATTTCCTCTCTTTTTTTTAAAACAAAAACCCTTAGACTGCAAATAAATGCATTTTGTTTTTATAGTGCATTTTAATACTACAATTGCTAATAAAAAACATTGTTTGCTTCAAGTCAAACTTGAAAATGATCAACCAAAACATGAAGGAAGTATACAAGCTATTAAACATATATTGCGTTCAATTAAAAACATATTTATTAACACCACTAACTTAGGAAAATTGTATTAAAACAGCTTGATACATTTAACAGAATATTTTAGCCACAAATTAGGTCCTTTAGCAATAGTTAATTTTCTTTTAATCAGCTTTAAAAAAAGGTATCCCATAAATATCACAACGTTTACACAAGAAATACTCCAGAATACTGTTCTGCATCAGCAGAGGGGGGAAAAATAAAAGCCTGAGATTTTGTGGTCTAATCAAGAAAATACTCAGATTATGGACTGCCTTTCATGAAATTTATCTCCAATCTGTAATAAGGATTTTTTTGGGGTTTTTTTTTCAGTCAACAAAACAGCCTTATCCCATTCATTGAACAGGAAAGGAAGTTAGAATTATAAGAATCTGAGATCCCTTACTACAGATTTCTAAAGTCATAAGCAGTCAAAAAAAGAAAAAAAAAGGCAAAAGTGGCATAGAGTAATTGCACATCTTTATAAACTTCTCTGAGAAGATGTATGACTGCAGAATATGCACTAAAATAATAAGTTCTGTCCTATATAAACATTTCTGTTCAACAGGGTACTAAAAAAAAAAAAACCCAAATTCACTCATTTTGCTCACCAATTTAAGGGTTTGATTTTAGTTGTGGGTTTTTTTTCCTTTACATGAAAATTATAATGCATGTATACATGGCTCTCAAATTTGCTTAGTGTAAGCAGAATAGATATATTAATATTAGATTGCTCCTTTAGGCTAAAGACAACAGCAGAATTCCCAAAAGACAGGTACAAGTAAGCCTGAAATCAAAAGATCCTATAGCAAGTAATTATTTCCTTAATTACAATAGGCTTTAGACAGTCAGTGCCTTTTAAACTCACCGAGACAAGAAAAGGCTGATTTTTCAAAACTCGCTCACTTGCAAAAATCATCTCTTGGTTCTTACAAAACACGAGAGAAAGATTGAACAATTGATTTTATTCTTTTTTTTCCCTTTTTGAACAAAAAGGTTAAAGCTGACTCTAAAACTTGTAYATTCTATTGCAAGAACATGTCAGATTCAACTTACCTATTTCTTTGCAACTAAAAGGAATGATCTCTGCATTGCACTGTCATTGCTCCATGGAAAAATATAACCAATCCAAAATGTATTTAAGTTTAGATTTTGCAGACTTATCGTAACTTTCATTTGCCAAATATTTGTTATTGGGACAGGTAGGTGAGATTAGACATGGTTCCTAATTGGACAGAGGCATTTTGGTGTCCTGGTGAGGGATTACTAGGAGATGTCTTGTATATAGATACTGGCAAATAGTTTGTTCTTGGTTATATAYGTGTGCTCAAAAGTACTACTGGGGCCTGCCATTTAAACCCCACTTGAATTGTTATGAGTCTTAGTCTGTATATTTGAGTAAACTGGGGGGAAAAAGACAAGATGGGAGGACTTGTCAATTCTGCATCATGAAATTTGATCTAAACTCATGTTGCAACAATAAAAAGCAACTTCATGCTCCTATTTCTACAACCGTTGTTTCAGGCCATAACTTGTTTTTATGCCTATTACCACTGATAGCTCCAGTCCAGCCTATCTGCAGTAGGATGAACTAGAAAAGAGCATCAAATGGAAAGGCAGGACATAAAGTTAGGGCTGAAAGTGGCCAAAAACGTCACCCTATGAGATTCCTACATCAAGATTCATAAAATCCTCCGGTTCAGGTTGCTCTTCTCCATCTGAAGCAACAGCGTTTGTGTAACTGTCCTGGCAGTCCCACACCTGGCGGGAGYCCCGCATTAGGATCATCATTCCTTAGTTAAAAGGATTACAAAACTCTCTAAATGATGTAACAAACTACTGGGAATCAGAGACAACTGAGAAAAAACTACATTCAGGAGACAAGTAATGTTGAAATAAAACTTGCAGCACGAAATTTATTGCAGGCAACCYGTCATTATTTTAGGGTTGCCAGTTGTATTCATCACTGCCCTCATTTCAAAGCAGGCATGTTCCGTGCGAGATGAAATGCACTCTGATAGCAACTCTTTGCAAGAAATTAAAATGAAATGTAGCTTTAAAAATCCTGTGTCCTAAAGAAATTCATTATGATATTTAAAGGATTTTATAAAGGGTTTGGGTGTATTTGGAGGGCTTGTGCATATTTCGTATACAAAATTATTCTTGCAAGAACAGRATGAACATAGTATTTAGCTGGCATTTTTAATTCCTACTGCTTAATGAAAAATAACCTATTCATGAAAAATACTATATTGACAACAGGAAAAGATTAGCCACAAAAATAATGTGACTGTAGCCTCAAAAAGCAGTTAAGCAGATGCAGTAAAAAACACAGAAGCAACTGAAGAGACTTGCAACTAAGTGGCTTGGTACTGTTCAAGAGAGAAAAAGATCAGGGCTCCCTAAAAAGTATAACAAGGATGAGTAGTGGACTTGGAAGCTGGCAAAAATAAACTAAAGGCAACACTATTTTAAGGCATCAAAGCACAGGAATAGAAGTGGCAGTTACAGCACTCCTGTAATGCCTGCATATAAGGACAGATACTATTCTAGAATCTGCTTACTGAGCTCACAGCATCAGGCTCTATCCTAAAATAAATGGGTTAAGAGGTAACATTAAAGGACATATACAAGGTCAAGATAAAGTAAGCCAAGGATCTTTGTGTGGCAAGCATGGGAAGCCTTTATCTAACCACCTGCAAACGTGGGATAGCTCAAACGAGCACACAGGATCAACCACGCAGGGATACTACAGGTGCTGTGAAGGAGATGCTTGGTTGCAGCATTGCAGTGGCAGCACAGGAAGAGCTCTGTAGGACTGCATTTTATCCAGCCTCTACAAACAYACACAAACATGCACCTGTATGTTTTTCCCGTGGCAAAACCCCTTTAGGCCTGGTCAGTGTAAGCGAGAGGCTCAGCAGTGTTTCTGTGGTAAGGAGAGCTCGCCAGCCTTGCCGTGCCCAGGCCCCAGGACACAGAGAGCACAAAAGCAAYGGAGAGAGGCCGGCCAAGAAGCTCTGCGTCAAGCAACACACCCTTCCTCCCAGCTCCTCTCCCTCACTTTGGAGTGATCAAGCCAAACCAGGAAGAAGGGGTAGGAGGACAGGAGAGAAGGCTGCTTACACAGATCCCCGTCCCCTCCTGCAACTCTACCTACTCACACGTCGGAGGCAGTGAAACATTGAATTAGTTTCTGCTGCCCACAGCAGGAGAAACCAAATTCATCTACATGAAACACTGGAAGGAGGAAAAAAAAAAAAACAAAGAAAAAAGAAAAAGACAGAAGCACTAGCACTGTCAGATGAAAGAGTGATCTATTTTCTCATCCGTATAACAAAATTTAATTATAGCTTCTCTGCTCCCTGTAACTTGAAGATAACTACCTGGGGCAAACTCTATAAAGCAAAAAGAAAAAAAAAAAAAAAGACTGACCTAGACAGTTAATGAGAGGAAGCAACCTAAGTTGACTATTTACAAAGGTTTCCCGTGTTAGTCATAGCAACCATTTTATATGGAGAGTCACATACTTACCACACTTAAACTGACAAGAGCGTTTGCCTTTGGCACAGGATGGCTATACAATGATTTTAGCAAATCATTCGAGTCATTTTCCTATGGGGGATATAGTTAAAAGATATTTAATCATTGTRTACAAACAGGATATATATGATTTAGTACACATGAAACAGTATAGACACAGGTACACATATTTAATGAAGTAGACAACAGCAATTCATGCTCRTGTCTTCTAATAGCTTCCTCAGCAGCAGACATGGCATTAGGAAGGACACTTTCTGGCCCATCAAAACAGTTTTCTCAACATACAACACAATAACCTTATGCCTTGGTATCTTAAATTCACTCAGTATTGACTGCAATGCAAGAACCACTGATCAGGAAACAAAAGTGAAAATAATCCTTGTCCCTTCCATCTATGACCTTAACAATAATTTGTACTATTAAAGTGAAATAATGGCCAAATCCAAAGCTACATTTTAAGTTTTAATACACAATTTATGAGACTTATGTGTATTCTATGCTTTGTTTTACTTAAGCTAATATAACCAAGCCAACTTCACTACTGCATTTTCTTTAGATAAAAGATCATCATTTTCTACAGTCCATTTACTATAACGTACAATAATTGCATATTCTATCGTTCATGTATTCTCTTAAAATGTCAGCTTTTGCAGCCCACAGCATATGGCTTACTATTGATGCCTTTTTTTTTTTTAATTATCATGTATACACTAATATAGTTAAAGCAGAAAGGTAGAGCTGTAACATTCTCAGTAAAGACAGATGCCAGTATTTCCTTTCCCGTGTAATCCTGAAATATGTCTAATTGCTCATGAATATGCAAAACTAAACTATCATGGTTCTTCACCAAATGCTGCACGTAATTTTGCCATGCTAGTTGAGATGACAGGATTACGAGAGGTAGCTTTTAGTTAATAGAAAGAAAAAAACAGTGCATTATATTTAAGGTAGCTCAAAAAAAGAAAGGCTTCTGACCATTAACCAGAGAGTTGCAAAGAGTCACAGTTTACAACCAATGCATCACATAGTTCTCCAGTGCTGTGACACTTTGTTCACACTTCATCCAGGACATCATGCTTTATGTTTATGTTAAGACTGACACTTTTCTATAAATGTTTTAAATAGAATCATTTAACAAAACTTGAAATTGTCACAAACAAGATATAGAATTACCTGTTCTTTAGCCAAATAATCTGCCAGGGTATTTAACAGCTTGTAGTATACCTCAAACCACGGTAAGTAACTAAAATAGGAGGGGAAAAAAGATTTTATTAAAAACATTCATGCCCACTTTCTAATACATCTATTTATCTTTCTAACCTCTAACTTGCACATTTTTGTAAGATTTCTATATATTTTATTTCCACTTAGAAGCAAAATGCATATCTTTTTTGCCATCAAGTTTAAATTCCATAGTACATCCATGACACAGCGTACCAAAGCTACATATCCTGTATTGCAGCTATTAAACTACCTGTTTTGCAAGTGTCTGGTTCAGCTTTATTTACCAAAAATCTGACATCTCAGTACTTGAAATGCCACAGACGAGCCATTCTGCTTCATACGGTAAGATGGCCACCTATATAAATTCCGAGTTAGTGTAGATTAGCTCATATTTTTACATGTCTTTATTCTAAATCCAAAAACGATTGCTTTGAACATTGCCAAAAAAGCTTTAAATCACATTCTCTCACGGCCATAAGTTTCAATACTTATTAAATTATCTGTCATTCTGAAGCTCCACATTCTGTTGCACCTGAGTGGATTGCCAAAACTGCCACTTCCCTGAAGGACAAAACCATTCTACTTGGGCAGGGCCGTTTCCCCATATTTAACAAGTGACACACTGCTTTACAATACGATATGTCACTTTATATATATGACTTGGTCTCTCTATAAAGAATTTCAAAGATGAAATGCTAAAAATGCATTCTTGTAAATAGCTCATTAATACATGAATATTTAACATACTTCTAGTGAAAGTCTGCAGCCTTCTCAGCAAGTTACACAGAGCCCAAATCAAGTATGACATGACCAAGGAGGATACAGAAAGGAATTCAAATCTACTGCTATCAATTCCATTTTTGCCATCTGCTTACGGAACAGCTGCCTGAAACCACAGTGAGAGAGGACCCACTACAGCACTGCCCACAATCACTGTTCCAGCATACAAAACATAGGTGAAAAACCTGGTTAAGTATTAGTAGTAGAAATAAATTATTTCTTATTTACAAATTCTGCACCTTCTGTGTCTTTTCAGAGAAAGCCTGTTTGTTCAGGCACCAAGCCTGCTTTTGTCCAGTGATTAAAGCAGAGGGTTAGGCTTTTTCTGTAAAAYCTCTCTTCTCAGCAAGTTGCTGGCAAGGCTTCAGAAACGGATTCCAGCTCTTCAGGCAAAGGAGATCAGAATAAAACTGGTTTGGGAACATGCAACTTGTATCAGTCTTAGATTGTTATCGTTATAWATGCTGCGTGGTTACTGAAAACAATAAATAAAAATGTAAATAAATTTATTGTCACAAAGCACAGTGACAYTGAGGTAAAAACTTCTTTTACAGCCACTGTATTAACGGCTCTATACCATATGTTGGCCTATGCTGCCCTGGCTATCACTCAAAATTAAATCAATCTCTTAATGCTCACAGACATTTCCAAGATTGGCACTGGTAGCTAAGGTGGGGCATTCATTTCTTTAATGAATTTCTTCAATTTCTTCAATTCTTCTTCAATGCCCTCTTACATCAGCATAAAATTGACTTACTACACCTGAGTAAGGCCACTAACCACTTATAGCCCCGACTGCTGCCTGTCCTTGTGAAAGGCTCAGTGTTACAGAACCAAACTCTTTGAGCTTTATTTCATCCCGAATTTCTACTGAGTTCTATATGGAGCTGAAATGCAGTACTGATAGGAAAAAAAAAGGAGTTGCCCTGCACAGATTTCAGAGCACTTGAAAACGCTGGAGTTATTGAACAGCTTTGTCAGCCCAGGACTCCGAGAGTGTCGCACACTGCTCAGAGCTTTCTGTTCAAGCCGCGATACGCTGCATAAATTACAAAATACCTTATCACACTGGACGCTTCTTGTTTGTATTTTCTAAGAACTGTCCAGTGTTGTGAAACACCTCAGCAGTAACCCTAGGCCTATTACCCTAGYGTATTACTTATGCTGTAGACTGCTAAAACCTGATCATTCCTTTTTCATAATAATGAGCATTGTAAGGAGCATGCTATAAAAATAAATGCTGTTTCAATCAAATATTAACTTTTTTTAAGCCTATGAACTTAGTTCACCTATTACTGTGAAAAGAAAAAATAAATACAATTTTTATATATACATGAAAACAACAAACTCATTATTTGAAATAAATGAAGCTTAGCACAAAGCCACTGTATATTTTTCTTTTGTAGAGGCATGTTTACCAGAGTACTCATACAAAAATCTTGAATRTAGTTTAGAAGTGCCATAGTTTCCTTCTAAGCTGAAAGACTGCGAAAAGAACTGCTATAAGGCTTTAAAAAACTATAACCACAAATACTAGGTTAAAATAATTTCAAGCATGCCACTTAAATTTGAAAGATTAAGGGGAAAAAAAAAAAAAAAACACAAAAAACCCACAAGCCCTCCACAGGAGAAGGCAGGAGATTTTATGGCAGGAGATTAAAGGACTCTGAGATCTGTGGGTGTTTCTCTGTTTTTCTACTCATATTCTCTCTAGCTCTTCAACACAGCTTAAGTGCAAAACTTCTCGCCAATAGCTCAATAGTTTTAATTATACTATCCTGTTCTTCAAGATAGCAGAAGATCTTTTGGGAGAAAAAAACTTCTCCTTGTGTTTCTCTATTAGGAATTTTCTATGTGCTATTTTTTTTAATTATAAAAAAGTATTATTGGTTGTTCATCTAAACAGTTAAGAGTACACACACATGTGCCTGTACATTCAAAAGCAGACCTCTCTGTAAATGCAGGTTGTGCTCATAATAAGGAGAGTCCTCAGCTGGTGTTTTATCAAGAGCAAAGATAAAGCTTTTTAATCTGAAACTTCCTCACGGCTGTCAAACAATGTTCTTCTCTTCTTATATCCCAGGATGGGATCTATATTTTGCAAGTACTTATGTTAATAATCCCATTAATTTATGAAGAACTATTCACATAAATAGTTATTCAAAGCTGAGCATCCCCCTGATTTAGGCCTTAAGTCTTTATCCAATATATTGTATTGGATAAAACACTGTATATAGCAGTTTTTTTGACAGTCAGGTCTGTGCATGGCTAGACAACAGAAGCGTTATGGCTCACAGGAACTAATCCAGCTCCTCCTATTGAGGAATCTTGCAAAAATTATTTAATCTTTATTTAGCACAGTAGAACAAGGTGAGGTACAGGAAAGACAAGCACATGGACATCAGCATCCATCAGCATCTGGGAAGCAGCAATTTTTTTCAAGCATGTYAGCACAGAAATGCACCACTTGCAAAAATAGTCTTAAAATGACTGCACTTAATAGAGGAATAATGTAACATATTATTGCTAACTTAAAACTGTCACACTACTGTATACTTCAAAAATAAATAAAAATCAAAATTATAGCCCAAGTCTTCATACATCACCAATGCACCATACATGTATTCACAAAATTATTTATGATCAGTGCATTTTACAATTAATTAGCTGTCCTATAAAAAAGTCAAAAGGTCCAATTATCAACAAAGCTCCTTTGCAGCAGACACTATAAAACCATTCRGAAAAAGTTTTAATTTTCAATTATTCATGTATTTAGAAACCTAAACTTTAAATTATTTAGGTTCTTCAATTATTGGTACCACGAATATTGGTGCCTTGCATTTTGTTGTTGTTGTTTTAATTACACACACTGCCTTCGCATTCGGCATGCTATAATCAGTAAYCTTTTGAGAAACACACACACAAAAAAAACACTCTATTTCTATATTTAACACAAAACATTTTTCCCACAATAAAGACAAAAGGAAGCATCTAAACRTAAGCAATATGTTTTTAAAAGATACAGATCCTCTGTTTTAGAATACAGTGGTCTTTATGCAAGAATGCAGCCACTGTTTGTCTTGTAAATAAGAGCACACGACACTTGATGCTTAATTAAAAACGTCCTTTCTTTTCCACATTTTCTTTTAATCCAAGCGCACTCAGACATTTATTCCGAGCCCTGCACAACCCCTGGAGCAGCGAGTAGACTTCTACCTCACTGCTGCTTCTACTAGAGCTCTGATAAAAGTTTTACATTCCTGAGTCAAAGGTTAAATAAAGGAAAGGAAATGTTTTCTGTCAAATAGTCAGGTAACCACTAACAGTCCTGAACTATCAGCAGGAACCTAACTTGGAGTAATCAAATAAAACTAAGGAAACTGCCTTTCCGTAGGTAAATGTCTAATGTCTAGGGGCTACTTTTCTGTCTGGAAAATTGACACAAAATGTGTAAAATTGAAACATTCTGCTTCTAAGGGATTTGCCTAAAGGAAGAGCCAGAAAGCTTCAAGCATGGGCTGAACTACAGAACTACAAAGGCTGACCACATAAAACTGTCTTCCTTATTACAGCATTTCATTTAGAAGCATAGGTGACAATTTTACAGTCATAAAATTAATGAAATCTAAGACSAGAAGTTTTAATGATGCATTTTGCATTTCTCTGTGTACATAAGCTAAATCACAAATTCCATCAACAATTTCAAAGTTTAAACAACAGGGGAAAAAAAATCCAATTGTTTGAACTTTGTTATTAAAACTATTTAGACAACTCAAGAACAATCTAATGCAGATCCAGGAAGTAATATTCCTGCTACAAATATCAGCAAAGTTAAGAAACAACCCTGAAAACCGCTTCTTTAAGAACAACGTAAAAATAAAACCACAATAGAAGTAGAGTGCCTGAGCACAGCAGAGCATATTTCTATCTTCTATTCTAGCACCTCTTCTTCTTCTAAGGCCACAAGAGCTCAATGGCTTGTGGAGASGTGGCAGCAGGATTTGCACGGGATGCCTCGCAGAGCAGCTGTGTCCTTTTCAAGCAGCTTGCAAAGGAATTGCACAGAACTACGAGGATAATCCAATATTTGTTTCCTTGTACTTACTACATGGATGATTTTGTACTCATTTGCAATGTGCCTTGAATTTGGCAACTGCAGTCAGGTTCTGCGTGTTCTTGTAATATACATACACAAACCACAATTAAGTTCTTAAAATGAAAAAGCATGAGATAGTTACATTGGGCTATTTTTATTTCATTACATTGACAGTTCACAGAGTGTCTGAATAAAGTACTCTGACCAGGGAGAGAATTCAGCTCATATGTGTGTTTGTTAAACAAATAAATAAATAAATACAAATTTTCTATGTGCAAGCAGAGCACGCTTTCTGCTTTAAATTCTTTGGTTTAAAGCACGACCTTGTGGCTGCAAATTCAAAGACTGTTTCCTTCAATTAGTGCTTCAGATAAAGAACAAATTACGGAGAAAAGACCCATTAACGACAAGACTTATCCTTAGAAGCAGCTTTGGGTTGCCATGTAAAACCTGAGGACAAGCAGCCTTGTCTTGTTTTCAGCTGAGGACTCAACTCACCGCTCTCCTTCCTCCAATCCTTTCACTTCAGCAGGCCCAGCACGGGCTAACACATGGCCTGGCACCAACCATAAAAGACRTGTGGAAAAAAAAAGTCTCAACTCATTCCCCACCTTGCAGCCTACCAAAATGTCTAAATTAACTTCTCTTCATTTTGGTTCTTGCTGGCTTCTTTCTAACTGTTCTTTTCAGAGACTCTTACTTATATTTTAGCTATTTATTATCATTTCATAYTGTTAATTCATCATCTTGGCCTTTGTTAAAGTCCCAGGCAGAGATCTAAAGCAATTCCTACTGCTTGTGAAGATAGCCATGTGTGTGAAAAAGGAGATGTGCAGATGTGCACAATGGTTTATTCAGGTGTGGTGCTTATGTATGCCTGTTTGAGCACTCTTATTCAATAACCAGCATGTTTATTGCGTATTTATTCCTTGTAGATGCACATAACTTTAAATGTTTACATATACACATCATTATGTGCACGTACACACAGCAAAATATATAATATAAACTAAGAATAAAAACYAAGGCTATTTTGAAATACGGAACAAGAGCGTGTGTGCATGAGTAACACGCATGCAGGTAAGTGCATACAATCTTCTTATGAAGATGGCATTCCTTCCTTAAGATTTCCTTGATATTGGTTAATTTAAGGTAAGCCAATAACCTTCAAGGAAAGACAGAAGAAATGCCAACAATCTTTTTTAATTTCCTAACGCCTGTAGGATTCAGAGAACCTGAATTTGATCCTAAGAAACATCAACTGGAAATACGGGTAAATTCTCTCTTTCAGAACTAAACACAGTCTCAGACAGTCAACTCCTAATGAAAATGAAATCTCTGATTTATACATTATATATTTCAACATTAAGAATTTAATAAAATTTATTTTAGAAGGTATTGCCTTCATATTGTGTTTGTATAAAAGAAATGACAGAACAACATTTATTAGCTTTAAGTGACTCTATAATAAATCATTAACTTACAAAATGTTAACTCCTTCTGATTTGTAAAAAGATCACACAATTCTGTATTCCCAGGCTTCTCCCTCCAGTACTTCCTCAAACATAAAAATCAGACAGAAATGGGCAACCCATCGACAGGTAAATTCTATAAATTCTATAAAGCTATGCACTCCACTTTGTGCTGTAAATTTGAAATTGTCACAATAAAAGCAATAAAGGCAGTGTTTTAATTATGGTTCTCTGAAAAATTATGGCTTGCCACTTTTCATTTTCCTAGTTATTTCTGCCAAGTAACAGACCATCGGTTAAGTTTTAGCTGATGCATATTTCTGTGGAAATGTTAAAAGAAATATCCCAATTCCCAATTTGCATGAGCTGAGAATTTGCTTCCTTTGCTTTGCAGCATCTCGTACAGTATTTAAACGTGAGTACCGGCATGTGTGTTAACTGGTTACTAGAGCACTGGATGTAGGCCAGGCTATGAATGAGTGTTAGGAGTAGAAGGAAAACACATCTATTTCTAATTCAAAGAGCAAAAGAAAAGGTTAGCTCAGAAAATAAATGAGGTACATAAGTTCTCTCCTGGCCTAAAAAGATACACCAACAAAAAGCATCACAGAGAAATGGGTAAGCATCAACTACTATATGCTTTAAAGGCTATGAAATAAATCTTTTTGAAGTATCACTGAAAAATTATCATCAGAACCATGAGKTAACCAAGAACTTGAGCACTGGTATTCACCAAGATGCCCCTCTGCTGCCAAGGGCTTAGGCTCCCTGAGAACAGAAAGCTCTTTTCTCTTCTTGCATATTTGGTGACTCACCTGGCCATTACACTTCTGTCTTGTTCTCCTCTCTGGATTTGTTGCTAAACAGGAAGTTCTTGTTTTCTCAGTAGGTCTTACAGGTTGCTCATATTGTCCCTCTCAAGTGGCAGGTTTTTTATTTGTACAGTGGAGCAATGATTTACAACAGCTAAACAAYTGTTTTTGTTTTGTTATTATCAAAGCATTATTTTGCAAGAGAATAAAAAGGAAAAACAAAGCCTATTGCAGACATCGATTCCTTCATCTCTGGTGTCTCTTCCACAATAGAGCAGCGTGTTGTATCTTGAGAACAACCCAGCTCTGAAGCTGCTCACACCACATAATGGAAAAAAGACACCCCAAAAGTGTGTTTTCCAGGACTGGGTAGAATACACAGCGTTTTTAGAATAGCACCAGCACAGCAGAGTGCTTTCTGTACCCACTGCAGAATAGTGCTAGAACACTGTTAGGCTGACTTTGAGATACACTTCTTAAGAGTAAATACTAATAGTATTCACAAGTAAATRAATACTAAGTGTTGCATTCTGGTGTACTGACATGGTTCAATCATACTATAGTAAAGAAACGGTAAGTACTGATAGATCAGACCGTTAACTGAAGATTTTCCACGGGTCATGTTTCCAAAACTTTTTGGTGCTCACTCGGATAGCGCGTTTTCCTCGTACTCACCTCAGGATACAGAGGCAGACCTTCCCTCCGGACGTCAGGCGGCAAAACCCAAACCTTTGCTTGCTTTCAATGTCCGTCAGCACGAAGGTGAAATGCTGTCCTACTTGGTTCTGGGACACCCTGAGAAGTTAAAAACAGAGTGTGAAAACACTAAAGCATCAAAAACACCACCATTTAAGCCAGTGGGACCAAGTATTCAGTGCTCAGACCTTCCTAGCCTCCTGTCAGACTGCTACCCATGGCTATTGCCACCCTGGGAGGGACACTGTTGAGCAGCGTCACTCGGGTCCAAGGAGAGGGGACATCTCCTAAAGCCCTTTCCTGAGGCTGGGGCAGACCCAGCACCAGTCTGTCCCGGCTCGCTGCAGCTGGGCACAGCTCAGCTGGGGAACAGAGCAACTCATTAGAGGTTTCAAATCCCAGAACTTATTTCATTTAGCATCACAGACTTTGCTGAGAAACAGCTAAAAACGCTTTGTGAATACGGTATTCACTGACTACCAACACTGATAATTAACAATATTGATTACTAACCCTTAAAAAAAACCTTAATTCCATTAACATAATTACACATATTTCAGATGTCATCTTTGAAGACTTAACAGCTTTACAGATCCATTAAAAAAGTAAAGTTTCTATGTGAATTTCTTTGCCAGAATGGATTAGACTTATAACTTTGCCCTGTGTTTCTCCTTCCCTTTTCTGCATTATCCAAASACAATTTTAGGTCCATTTGCCAGTGCAAATTTACTCAATTCAGGAAACTCAAAAGCCATACAGTAATCAGGAATAAACAGCAAGAGAATTAAAATATCTTTGATCCCTTATCAAAACACGTATCAGAGTAGATTACTATGAAAGTTTCCTACTTAATCTTCTAATTCTACATTAATTCACAGAAATACATATTGCACTTTCTCAAAACCTCCCAAAGAAAATCAGCTTTAGACAGATATTTTCAAGCRGAAGAGCTAATGCATGGCATAGCTTAGTGAAAACAAACTCATGATGAGGAGTGCAGGGGGGTTTAAAATGGGAAAAGTAGCAGTTCTGTCTGTAATTCTATTGTCTTCTATTCTTTTCCCATCCTTATGGTACCTTCTTCAGCAGGATACCTAGGCACCTGCCAGTAAGCAATGTGATTAACATATGTCATATATGGTTTATTCCTAGATATCAAGCTGAAAATGAATTCCCACAGAAGCTGAGAAGCACCACAATCTCACTAAAGAAATCATCGTGAGGAAATCAAAGAAATGCACTGTGCCCATTCTAATGCATGATGCAATATGGATTCTTTTCTAAAACTTCTACCAAAATAAAATAAAAAACCAGAATTTTCTACTGTGAAGGAAGGAAGCAGGAGATAGAAGGGAAAAAAAAGYAACAAAAGTCACATGCAAATGGTACTGCTTAGTGCAGGAAAGCCAGAATGTTAAATATTGGTCAAGTAGTAGTATCACGACCCAGACCTTACAACCTCCCATTCTGATCTAGTCGCACTTGAACATATGGTGGCTAGACATGAACAAACATTTCTGCTGAGCACACAGTACATAACAAGACACGTTTAGTCCAATATAAACACGGTAACTTACAGAGGGGTTTTTGGGCTATGTAATTAAATAATTAAGACAAATACTTCCCTTGTCTTCCATAAACAGGAACAACTTAATCTGCTCTTGAAACACAGTAAATGCTCCCTGCTTTTCACTCGGTACTTCCTTATTCCTTTACTTTTTATGGACTGTTCCAGGCAAATGACTGTACTTGGTTACAACTTGGAAAACGACACTTTAGCCAAAAAACACAAACACCCCCTATAAAAAAAATATAGCCTAGATAAATTAAAATACCTTGACAGTTCAGTAACAGACAATTGCAATGCCATCTCTCCATCTCTAACAAGATGTCAAAGATATAGGTTGTATAAAATGTCCAAAAAAGCTCGAAGTGAAAGTATGAGATATATTATAATGTAGATAAATTTGGACTGTGTGTCTTAGGGCTTGTGCCTTCCTGTCTCCCTTAGTTCGACCAGTTCAGACCCTTGGGAGCTCAGGACTCCCCTTTACAGCTCTTCAAGCTACTTGTACACATTTTCCTCGAAATGAAAACCACAACATGTATGATGTTGTTACTGCCTACAAAGCCTCCCTAGGTAAAACATTACCTACACTTTAAGTCGGAGCACAGACCCAACCAACACAGCTGAGCTTTAGAAGACACTGGGCAAGAAGTTGGTGCCATGACTCTTTCCGAAGAGCAGGATCTGCCCACTTGCACAGAGAGCAGAGGCCCGTCACTACAAGGTGTCACTGGCCTTTTGYTCGCTCCTTCCTCTGCCCGGCTTTTCTCTAGCTTTCAGCTCCTGTAGTGCAYGCCTACATTTCATCTTGTTTAGCGACAATAAATCATTAATAGCGAAGAATGTGTGTAAACACCTATTAGCTCTGCAGACTACAATGGACTCTTTCAAGGTTAATACAGTTCACTACAGGAATAAAAGTTTTTAATTTTTTCTAAATACATATCCACACAATGAAGAAAAGGCTCTTTAGATTACACAGAGTAGTTAACGAGTCATTTTAAAGATTTTTATTTACACTATAGTCATTGTTCAGACCTAATTTTAGGATTGCTTTGAGAGAGCTAATTAAGGCAGGAATTAAATCCCTTCCTCGCAGGAGAAGCGGTATATCTAATCACTAAACTTACTCCCTTTTGCTCTCCAATAGAACTTTCTTCCAAATCAGTCCTTTTGGGAAACAGAATATAGTTTGAAATGATTTTTTTTCAAGTCTATTCTTCTTTCAAGCCTTTGTTGAGCTTTGCTGAATTTCAGATAGAGATTTTTAATCTCAAAGAAGAGGAAGACCTTATACATGGGAACACAGTTGAGGTTGGTTTTGTTTGTTTGTTCGTGTTTTAAGAAAAGGAAGTTAGTAGTATCATTAATCATGGTATTTTTTATAATTAAGGTCTTACATATATGTATTTGGCCAGCAGAAATCAAGAGTTAAAGTATGGTTCAGATTCAAGTGCAGAAAGCTGCTACTTAAAATTGAAATCTTTAAATATATGCCACCTCTTAGAATGATGAAATACGGAACGCACTAGATTCTAATGCACTCTAATTCTTCATAATTCCAAGGACAGATTTGAGAGAGCTCCAAGCTGGAACTAAGATAGAGGTGCTAAGGTAGGAGGCCGCAGATGAGCGAGGCCCGGGGGACCGGGCAGCCCGGGTTAGACCCTCGCCCTCAGCTAAACTGCCGGCCCCAAGGCTCAACTTCAGACGTGATTTTCTCACACCTCTAAATTCAATCCACGATCCGAGACTCTACTGCTGCAGTTCTCCCCTGGGTAAAGCGCTACTCGGCTCCAGCTGAGTTATCTTAATAGAGCTCTGCCTCACACAGATGCCAGATTCTTACACTTAAGAAATTAAGCAGGAAGAAAAATAGGCAACATCAAAATGTCTAAAGCTAGCACTACRTTAGGAAATTCCCCAGAATAAAGAGCATAGTTAACTTGAGGCTGTAGTTTTAAAACACAAGCATTAAAAGAAAGCACATTAGCAAAGAAAAAGCTRCCATTTACTAATATTCCTATCTTTAAAAAGAGAAAGGGATTCTGTAACAGAATGAAAGGGAATTCACAGAATGTCTAAAGGTTATTCACAGAATATCTAAAAACTACTGAAATGTTATACACTTGTGCTATTTATGAAGTTCAAACCATTTATTCACAAAGACATAAGCTCCTCGAGTATAAACACAGAAGAAATTCTATGATATAATTCATTTCTTATCCCTCAAAATTGTCGTAACTATAAGAAATGAAATTATGTCCCTGTTTTTGATAAAAACTGATATTAAATGTGCAGTTTAAATCATGGTCAGCACAATATATCATCATGTTATTTTTTGCTTGCCTTTCAGGTTAAATTTATCAGGAATTACCCACAGATTTTTCATCACCGTTTTATAGCAGGCACTGTTGATAACCAGAATGACCAGCATGTAGCTAGTCACTACAARCACATAAACTATAAAATAAAATGCTCTAGTGGGGTGATGCAAGAGCTGTATCAAACATGGAAATGAATCTGGATCTCCATCCATGTCTTTGCAGCAGACTGAAGAACACGAACGTTCCCATCTCRTTCATTCCTCAGTTCATTCTCTAAYTCAGTACCAGTGAGGGGGAGGAAATTCACAGCTACAGACTCRACAACCGGGCTGAACAGTCTCAACTTTGCTACTACCTTAACTTGAAGAGCACATATTTCCCACTTAAATGACTTATTTGCTTATTTAGCAGTAAAGACACCCCATCTTCCCATCTCTCCTGCCTGCAAACAGAAACCCCAGAGGAGCAGATTCACAGTCTTTTTCCCCAGGTATCTTTAAAAGTAGCATCAGGGGGAGTTACTGCTGTGGTACTGCTAGACCTTACTAGCTGGCAAAYCCTGCTTGGAGGGGTGTTGTGCCTATGTAATATATATTACTGAGAAACCRTGTTATTTATTGTACAATATTTTCAGCCCACACCGTGGAAACTTTGTCTCTCATTTCAATCACATCCTCTATACAAAAATTGTCACTGGAAGTGTCTGTAAAATATTTGGGAGGCTTTAGGTGCATGGTCTAGCATAGTCTCCTATAGAAAAAAAAATAAAAAAATAAAAATAAAATCCAATTTCCACCAAAAACGCTACAAGCRCATTTATGTCCAGGAAAAAAGCTCTAAAGTTTCTGTCACATGCATATCATAGACTTGCATTACTCATAGACAAAAGCCCTATATAAGAGATCTACTGCAGCATTTTCCCTTGCTTTTCTCTTTTCCTCCAAATTTCAAACCACAACTAGAGCTTTGAAAAAGCAAACACAAATGAATACTTTTAAGAGAACAAARCACCCTGTATGCACTACAGAAAACGCCTGGACGGAGCAGCACATCCATCCACCCACCAGGCAGACGGGCTCCGCTCCGAGTCCAGGGCTCTTACAGCTCTCCAGGTTCCAGCCTTGTCCCGCAGCAGCCCAGCCTCTCCGTGCCCAGGGCTCTTAGAGCCTCCTCGCCTGCAGGCCTGCCCACACAGGGCCCTGCAGCCCAGCCAGAAGCTGCTCTGAGTTTGGCTGCCCGCGCCAGCCTCCCTCAGCTTAGCAAAGTCCCTCCTCGATTTGCCTGACTGCTGTTTTTGRTAAACGTGCAGAAATTCAGTATCTTTGAGTTTGCCGCCTTGCAGTCAAATATGGGTTTATAGACAAATGGTGAAAACTTGAGGGGGGAGGTAGAAGAAAGGTGGTAACCGATAAACAACATAACTCCCACACTTATTTKTTTTCCATTTGTTTTTGTCCCCTCTTGTCGTGGTTACGCAGCCGAAACACGCAGCTAGCCCTGCTATAAACGCCCCCATTTCCGCTGGTCGCCGTTTCAGACACCAGCCTCGTGCAAACAACCGCGAGCACCGTCTGAGGGGCGCAACGGGACCGCGAGCCCGGCCCRCGGGGACCTCTGCACGCGGTTGCTCGCCGCCTCTCATTAGGCTCTTGCCACTGGATGGCAGCAACAGAACCTCACCTMTCTCTGCTATCTGCAAATTTTATTTCCATTGTGCATCTTCGTTACTAAATTTAAACGGGATCCTGCACATATCTTAAGTACGTCGCAGACTTTGATGCGTTAACACCAACAATCTTGGCTAAGCATTAAAGGGGCTTAAACAGTGTGCGTAGGCGGTGCAAGTGCCAAAAAAACGAATGAAACACAAATATAAACGACCAAGAGAGCTCAGCTCCCTTCAGCGGGGCAGTGCTGATGATCCAGGTGTGCTGCTCTTCCTTCCCCTGCCCATCTCCTCCTCCTCGGGGACGTTCCCTGGCTGCGCAGCCCCTGAGGGCCTCGCTGGGGAGGCCGCTGGGCCGGCGCGRCCTGCGCCGAGGTGCAAACCAGGCTGCTACGGCAGCCCCAGCCCATCCAGGCGACCCAGCCGGCAGGACGGCTTAAAATTACCTACCGTTCATCCCTCTGACAAGCTCAAATCAATGCTTTATTTAATAGCAATGTTTTATACGAACGCTTTAAGTGACTAGCAAGACTGCATGGAAACCACACTATAACTGATACCAGAAGAATAAGGACTTATTAATTATAAATAATGGTCTTGATTGTACTCTGAGGGGGAAAAAAAAACACATATTCAGTTACTTCCATGCAATTAAAGTCTTAATTTCTTTGAACTCAAGCAACACGGTTACAGTGCTACTCAGTGAGCTTTTATATCCTGGTGCACCGAAACATTTTATATGATGCTTGCTGTTCGAAGGAAGCTATGTTATATCCTTATATTAACACAGATGGTGTTTACAATTATACTGGAGGGAACTGAGAGCCAGAATGGAGCTCCACCTCAAAAGAGATATTCCTGCAATTCTGCAGAAGGTGAATTTTGCTGTGATAATTCCCTACTATGCAATTTCAAACCCACTTGAACAATAACGGCAAAAAGTATTCTCATCTACAGGTGCAGGTTTATGTAATGCAATATATTTTCTTCTATTTTTTTCTTGCATTTCATTTAGATATCACTTGATGTGAGATACTTATAAATAAATAATTGTACCACATACCTTTCAATGTCAAAAGGAAAGCAGAACTTSGGAACGCTGTTCAACACTTCCTGTAAGTACAAGTAAAAGAGAAATAAAGTCAGGATTTTTAAATGGCTTTTATCTGCATTTGCTAGCACAGCTACCCTACAGGTTGTTTAAAAATAAATAAACAAAATCCCAGAACATCCATAAAAAACAACAAATACAAGAAACATATAATAGCAAAAAAAATATAGCACACGTTCCCGGACTGAAATAATTGATTATTAAAAAGGAATTAAGTTTGTGCTTTGGCAGATTGCAAAGACAATGCCATAGAAGCCCCAGGAGGGAAAGGCCTGGCCTGAAGGGTATTAACACCCTTCACATCCCCGCTGGGATTCCCTTCAACAAGGCCATATGGATTTTACAAGCAGCACCGCACCATATGGGTAAGCCACGTCTGCTGCTACTTGTACCACAGACTAGCCACAGGGACTTCTGACAGATCCTGGCTCAAAAATACAAATGTTGTTTCAATTAAAATGCAGGCAGAGAAAGGGGAATGAAGTTGGCAGCAGAATGAATTACAGAGAGGTATAACAACTCTATACACGTTTCCCAGTCAAATGCCGAAATGCTGAAGATGATGGAAATCTCCTGTTGGTCCAAAGTAAAAAATTGTATGATTAACCCTTTGGGTTTCACAYGCAAACCTCACTCCTAATGCAGGGCAGAGTGGGGGGAATCCACCCAAGCTACATCCAGACCATAATGCGAGAGGACAGTGTTGCTCTTCCTTGCACAATTTTATGTATGAAGCTGTTTAGTGGCAAATAAAATGTGTTAATGAAAATATAAAAATGCTCTCAAACTAGTCAATATTATTCTAAAAGAAATGTGAATCATCAGATCTGTTACCAGCAAATATGAATTAATATTTATCAGTGACCTGACAAGATCCCAGAAAATGGTAATTATTCCCTTGCTCCCAGTTTGCATACGGATTGCAAATTTCCAGATACAGAGCTTAGATAGCCYTGTCCAACCTGAGTTCTGTTTACTCTGTGCTGAACAGTTAAGGAAGACTTAAATTCCTATACACCATGGCCACTTACTTCAATCATTTGCAAGGCTCAATCAACAGTAAAATATGAAAAAAAAATAAAATGCCAGTTGATCAGCACAAGATGAATTGTTGGGGGGGGGGAAAAACTCTAAATACAACAGTGTGTGCTGTATTTAGAGCGTAGCTTACAACATTTCAAAGGCTTATGATTTGCCTTAATAAATAATCATATAGGACAAAATGAAAAAGATGATTTTTTTAAAATTTCTAAGTGGCAGAAAAGAGATCAAGAATTTTTTTGAACTTTGACTTTCTCAGATGGCACCAATAAAGAGGAGTATGAAAGCAACACGCTACATTTGGGGACAGCTTATTAGCTTAATTATGGAAATTCCTTCTCAGTAGCAGTACATGCAATATTCTTCAAAAGCAGCTCCTGCTCAAACACCAGTCTGATGGCTGTGAATGTCCTCCAAGGAAGTGAGGGGGCAAAGCACAAAGGCAGCACATAAATATTTGAATTCATGTAAGTAGGAAACAAACAGAAAYGATGGTGCTGATAGCAATAATAAACTCTAAGAAATGAAAACAAGTAGAATGGGTTAGATAAAACTTTAAAAAAAAATCTTATTGCAATTTAACAGGAGACATTTCCAAACAGTCTCTTGTTTCAGCCTCATAAACCTTGAATTTCCCCTTCCAAAAAATATTTTCATTTAAATTCTCTTTGCAAATCTTCTCCGTTCCTTCTACTACAGGAAATCAACAGCAAGGATTTTAACTACTGCCTGGCGAGCTTAACAAATGGAAAGGCTAAGTTTTCCTTTGCATTCCCTCAGCTTTAGTGATGACACAAATCAAGAGAAGAGCTGCAAGGTTTCAGCCCGTGTTTTGCAGGGACGAGGAGAGCACCGCAGCGCGTGTCCCGGCCCCGCTCGCTTCCCAACTGGCAGCCACGGCCCTCGGGGGACGCGGCTTTAAACCCCCGCGCTCTTTAAAATTCAACCAGCCAGCAGGTCTATAGACTGCTGTATGAACAGTATAGACAAAAAAAAAATCCTCTCTCAGCTTATGTCAGTGACAAAGCAGCTCAGCAGTTGACTGCTTTTCCCCTGACAGCCTAAGCCGGGTTTACACAGATCAATAGATGGAAGCCCTACCTAGCTTCCAGGGCTCGGTTTCCTCTCTTAATTACAGGTGCTATTCAGCTTTTTAAAATGGAGCAAAACAAGATGCCCTAGAGGTGCTTCTAGACATATTTAAGATGCAAACACTACCTTATATATCCATTCACACACACACACCAAGTATCAGTGCACAGTTAGAGCTGATCCTTTGGAGACTCTTGATGATATTGGGCTCCATTTCCTAACGGACTGTCATTTTCAGGGAGTTATCGCTCAGCCAGCACGGCCTCTCAAGTCCAAATACTCATCCTCAGAAAAACAACACTTATTGTCTTGCATTATATAAGCTTGAAGTATATGTTTCTTCCCGAAGATAAAAGGCTGCACAAGTCATTGGAAGGCAAAACCCCCTAGCTGCACATGGCCAGTGATAATTTTCACCTTCGGGTCTCACAGATACAGTCCTTTCCGAACACGGCTACTCCTTTGGAATGGAAACACACTTATTTTACAAGGAATTGTAAATAAGGAAAAAAGGATAATGCTGCTGGGGTAAAACAAACAAAATTATGGATTTGTTTTAAGCAACTAAACAAACGTAAGGAGTTGCATATACAATTGAGCTTACTTGCTACACCAAAGGATATCCATTCACAGCTTAGACAAGCTCCCAGAGAAGGAATAATAAAATCATAAAATTAACACCAACTGAACTACAGCCTGCTGTTCCCTTCACATAAAACTTGAACAAAATGGAAATGGTATCTAGGAATAATTTTCATTTATGCCTACAGCCCAACAGCATAAACCTGCCTTTCTTAGGTTTATGAKCCGGCGCTTTTATGGGTTCCCTTTCTCCGACAGAACTGCCTTCCTCCTCCTCCTCCCTGGCCTGCACTCGCTGCAGAGCAGCCTTCCATGCACAGCCAATGATACAGAAGCCTCAAGGCTCAAGATTAGTCTTCCTTGCTTATTTTTAGACCTACATGGCTAATTCTGGCCGTTATTATTTTACTTGTATTTTAAGAGGCAGTTGAGGATGCTTCTTAATTATCATAGAACAACAGTTTTCTGTATAAAAAACTCCTGGCATCTCAGAGTTTTGCCCTAAAGTGAAACTCCTGGCACTGTCCATTGGTGTCAGCCTAGGAAAGGAAACCTTCATGACTGTGCCCGGTCAATAATCAGCATTACAATCTGTTCTACTTATAGTCTGCAGGAATCAACCAAGAATTTACTCATTTTCCTATGATGAGAATTTCAAAGTACTAAAACTTAGCATGGTAGCACTTTGCACCCTCAAAGAGGGTGCCATAAATGGCTCTACCAGAAGATATCCTGACCGTACTAAGATAACTAAGATAAGTCTTTTTGAATTCATGAAGACAGAATTTCACTGTATTTCATTTTCTATATTTTTATTTGACAAGGCAGAGTAATGTAATACACATCTATAAAGTATGCATATTGTGGCAGCTTAGGAAAGCACACATATATGACCTTCCCACTGTTAATTTGAATTAAACCACAGATACCCAAAATACAAACACCTTCACAGCTACCCAAAATTGTAAATATTGCAGAGCACTGGGACTTGGGAGGGTACTGATTTCCTTTTCCACTTCAGCCACCACCATGTCTTACTCTCTAACTCGCTACATCTCAAAGAAGGTGCAGGAGTCGTCTCTACAAGAAAACTGCACCAGATATACGATATATTCCAGAATTAGAATATTGATATATCTCTGTATAGCACTTTTGTTCTTTAACGTAGGCACTTCAGATGGTTACTACCCTTCATGTAGATAAATGTACAGAAATTGATGTTGATCATTTAATATTACACCACTGAAAATAGTGATGCTTATTTCTAAGGTAAGAAAGACGTGGGATCTATATAGGTCTACAGGTTTTTTTTCCTTATTACAACATAGTCTGCCAGTCTGCATTTAAATGGGACAGAACACTTTGAAGTACCCAGAAAGCTGAACTACTTCACAAGCAGCAGTTCTGGCAATGGTTTTTAGARCGAGTCCTGCTACTTCCCGACTATTTGCATGTTTGATCTGCAGCAGAAGACTCAGCCTCAAGAAAGCAGGCAGACTCTCAGCCAGGTCCATCCTACTTACAAACAGATAAAGTGAAAAGAAACATCTCTTGGGGAAGATGGGAACCGTCTTGCACCAAGCCAAAGCCTTCCCAAGATACATCAGAATGGCCCAGGGAAGAAAACATGCAGCAACCAAGATAATTCCAGTTTGTAAGTGACAGAATCCAGACYAGGTTGTCAAAAATATTTATATGAACTAGCTCCCAAAATAACTAATCTATATAACCTCWTCTCTTTACGTTCGTGTCAATGAAGAAATCTACCAATGAAATACTAATTACAGGAATTTAAGGAGTTAATAACTTGGTTTTAAAGTGTTTTTGCACTTTTCCCATTATCCTTCCTATGTCTTCAGCCATTTTCTTTCCATCAATATTATTAGCTTTTATCTTTTTCTTACCCCTCTACCTTGTTTGTGTCTCCTCTTACTGAAAGAAGAGATTCCCTTTTCTCAGTACCTTCTCTCTCTTTTGTATCTATCACTCCATTCAACATTGCCCACTGCCTCCTTGCATGTTTCTGCTGCTGACAAATGCTTCTTGCTACTCTACTTTGGTATTTCATTTAGTTGCTCTTAACCTGTATTTTCTTCCTCCTAGAACACTCACTCCCTACTTGCCTCTCTTTAAAAGTCCATTCTTGAAACATTTCACTGAAGCCCTCTCCTTTGGTTTTCCTTACCTAATTCTTCATCTCTAGATCCCATTTCCACCTCAAGCACAACTTGTTTGCTGATGTTTCCTCTAACAGGACTCTTCTTCACTCTATGCCTTTTCATTGTTA